CATCTCCTGACGAGAATGTTGCACTAGGATGAACATGACGTCTATGCACCCCACCCACACTGACCAACGCCTGCCGTTTCAAACACAAGCCCACATCTTGAACATGAAGCCATTGTTTCAAACACAAGCCTGTCACTTCAAACATGAGCCCGTCGCTTCAAACGTGAGCCTGTCGTTCCAAACGTGAGCCTGTTGTTTTAACTGTGAGCCCGTCATTTCACACATGAGCCTGTCATTTCGAACATGAGTCCATCATTTTGGATGGGAGCCCATCGTTCAACTGCAACCCATGGACGACAGCCACCTCACTCACTGTGACCATGCATGCAACCAAACCATGGAGTACAGGCCACATTATCAGTAGATACAATATACAGGGTATCTACTTGAATATATAATTATTGTACAAGACCGGTTGCAAACTGGTCTGAACCGTAACTGGTTCAGACTGGTCTTGCAACTGCAAAAAACCATGTGAAACTGCTGTGGACTGGTCTATGATGGTTCCAGTCTCAGTTTTCGAGAATTTCAGAATGGAAGGACTGGTCTCAGTCTCGGTTTTGTCAAATATGGATGAAAAACCAGACTGGACCGGACTTCCAAGCACTAGTTGAGTGTTGAGTACGAGACTGGTGAGTTTGCTTTGCGTGGCAGTGTTCTGTATGTGGCTGACTACATTGTCCACAAACATGTGAAGGTTAGTAGCTGTTCATCGAAGTTGTACTACTTACTTCTTGCTTACTTGAGTATGTTTTCGACATAGGAACTTGGAAATTTCCTTTTTTGGGGGGTAAGGGGTGGGGGGGGGTAGGCTGAGGGTGCCTTAATTTGTAATGTGACTGTATATCTAAAATCCACATTCCGCTACCCCCTTGGCATCAATACTTTCCCATCCCCCACATAATCCACATGGATTCCACTGGATTCTGCTGGATTCTGCTGGACTTCACTACATACTGTACCATTATAACAATATTCACAAATCTGAAGTGGACTGGAGTTCAAACATGTCAGTAAGTCTGTATATTTCCCTTTCCTGTCTGAGTTTTTCCTCACTCATTATGCATTGCAGTGATCTCCAATGGTCTTTTTTATCATAGTCTCAACCCAGTGTACCATCACTAGCAGTAGTGCACTGGTGTCCTATCATACAAGCAATATATAATGTTTTTATCAGAATCACTTCATTATTGGTCAAATATCAACCATCATCTAAGTTAAAACTAACCAATGATAGGTTGAAATTAACTGGCATAACAGCCTCAGAAGGCTTAGGTTGAAAACAGCCATTTTAGGTTGTTAATCAACCAAAGTGACCCAGGTTGATCACCAACCTAAGGACCAAGGTTGATGAAGATCAACCTAAAAAGCGGTTGAATGCGACCTATGTTAGGTTGAGTTTCAACCAGCATGACCTGCACAGTGTCCCTGGTGAGCAGGGGGCGGGTCTGTGCACAAAAGGGGGTGACGTGACCAGAAATAGCCGAGGCCGCTTGTCTCATGCTTCAACAAACTTCAATCATCATCCTTTTCGGTTTCCTAACATCCCTCCTCACCGTCTGCCACATCACACACGTCACCAACCACGATGAGCAAGAAAAGTAGCAAAGCGCAGCAGGCCAAAGTGGCCATGACCTACAACATCAACGACACGGTCCTAGGCAAAGTGCGCGGCTTTCCACCGTGGCCCGGCATGGTGAGCCTCCTTGCGTCGAGTATGTCCAATGGTTCTGATCTACGTCTAGGTTGTGGACCCAGACAATGTCCACCCCACTATGGCTCTCGAACGCCCCAGCAACAAAAAAGCCATGTTTTACTGTGTCAGGTTCTTCCCTTTGGGTGACCAGTGTGTCCTTTTTTCCATGTGTTCTCCGCCCTGACGTGGCCCACACTGACACGTTGCCTGCAGTGCATGGTTAGTCGAGAAAGACATCTCAAAGCTCCAACGACACGAAATTGAGTTGTATATCTCAGAGCCCCACAAAATGTCATCAGAGCTGTTGAATGGGTATCGCATTGCTCTGGACCCTGCGACGTGGCTCGTGGAGAAAGAGGCTATGATCCAGGATACAGTAGACATGGAGGAAAATGCTGAGATTGACCAGCTTGCAGAGACAGAGGATGGAGAAGATGAAGGAGCTGCAGGTTCGCGTTTTTTCATGTTATGTTTTATTGTCATTGGTGACATGCTGATTCTTTGATTTAATAGGCAAGAAACAAGGGAAGAAAAGGAAATGTGACGATGCTTCTGCATCTATCAAAGAAAAGAAAGAGAGGAAGAAATCCAATAAACCAGCAAAAGCCAAGGCAAAGAAAGACACTGATGCTGGAAGAACCACAAGGAAGGCCAAGGCCGCCAATGGCAATGGTGCCTCTAAACGTTCCAAAAAGTCCCAAGTGATGGTTGAGTCCAAAGATGAAGGTGAAGCTGAGGCAGATGCGGAGGATGAGGCTGAAGATGACGCAGATGCTGGGCCTAGCACGAAGAGCTCCAAGAAGGCTGCGGCTGCAGCAGATAAGACTGCTGTGTCGCCTCCACCAGCGAAGAAAGCGAAACGGGACTGGGATGATGATGCTGAAGAAGGTTAGTTTGCCCTCTTTTCTGTTTTCTTTGTGGTTTTGCGGACATGGTGGCTTGGTGGATCAGTGGAGTGGATCGTCGGATCGCTCTGATCTCTTGCTTGTTCTCGTTTCGTCTTTTCTCATTGTTGCCACAATTGCCCTTTTTGCCCCTCTTTTCCCTTCCTCATCCTCTTTCAATGCCCTAGACCCTTTTTCTGCCATTTCCCCCTTGTCTGAGAGCTATGCTTTGCCAACACCACACTTCCTCAACGTTTTCCACCCTTTTCATCAGATTGCTTTCGTAACCCCCATTTTCACGCTTTTGCCATCGTTGAATGTCCTCTGATGTTCCTTCCATTCTTTTCTATCTCTTCTTCTCTTCTGCATACCTATCTTTTGCTTGACCTTCCCAGTCTCACTGTCACGGCCCATCTTTTGCTTTCTCCCTTCTGCTTCTGCTTCCATTCATTTTCATCTTATAGCTGCTTTTGCCTTGCAAACGCACTTTCCTCATTTTTCCCTTCTTTTTCTCGTTTTTGGTGCCTCTCCTTATCCTGGCGTCAACTTTGATCCTCCTCTGGCGCCTTTTTTCGTATTTTCGACCCTTTTTCTTCCTCTTCTTATGTCCTATTACCTTCTCCAAAGCGCTGGTGTCTTTTAATCGTACCCCAGACGTTTTTTCCCCTTTTGTTTTCAAAATTCAGACGTCCTTTGTCTTTCTTGACCCCCCACAGTGTCTTTTCGGACCTTTTGCACTTTTGAGCACTTTTCTCGCTTTCTTGTATGCTGTATCGCCTTCTGTCATTGTTTCCCTTCTTCTGCCTGCCTTTTGGCCTCCTTTAATAATCAGCTTTCACCTGTGGCTGGATTCTTTTCGGAGGCGCTGGTGCCATTCAATCTTCGTCTCAGAGCCCTAAGCCTTCTTTACTTTTGAATTTGGGACAACAACCACCACCTTTCACATTACATGGTTGTTTTTATGACCTTTGTGCACTTTCTAGTGCTTTTCCCCCTTCATCTTGTTCCTTATCAGCTCTCGCCGCTTTCTTCTCTCTTTTGCTTCCTTTTTGGTGTCTCTTTGTCTTCAGCGTCAACCTTCACTTGCCTCTGGCACACATTTTCCTCGGTTTCGGTGCTTCCTTTGCCTTTGCGATGTATTCTATCATCCTTTTCCGCAGTCCTGGTGACTTTCAAATGTCACTCCAGGGCACCACTTTTCTATGTTTTTGAATGACACCGCCTTTTTTAACAATGTTCCCTTTTAACCACTCCTTTTCCTCTATTGCATGCTTTACCATCTTCAATCACCCTTTTCGCACCCCCCCCCCCAATCACTTGTCCTTTCAATTTCTCGCCATGTCAGAAGCTGACCTCTCTTCTTCTCTTTCCAGCTAAAGGCTCTGAAGACAATCAATCGATCAAAGTGCGTGGTTGGCGGCACAGACTGCAGAAGACCTTCTTGAGCAATAAGTCGTTACCCAAAGAAGAGGTGGGTATTTTTTTGCCTTCCTTCCTGGTTCTTTGGCTCATTCAACCACTCAGGGTTGACTTTTTGTGCCATCTCCTCCCCCCTTCTCTCTTTTCCACATCCTGCCATTTCCTTCATCCACATTCCTTCTCTAGCTCCTTCTCCCTTGCTTGCATCCCCACTTTCACTGCTCCGATTCCCGTCCTACCATCCCAGCCAATGCTGACCCACTTTGTTTCACAGGAAATGCCAAATCTCAACGACCTTTTCAAGACAGTGGAAAACTATGAAGGCATGATGATTGAACAACTCCAGGTATGTTTTTGCTGTTGTCATTCAAGGCTTGGTCACTTGGTGTCTTGATTTTGGTTGCCCCCCATGATGGGGTTTATGTTTGGTCATTATGAACCTTTTCTTCAGTTATGCCGTCCATTCGTTTCCTTTTCCTCGATTTCGCGCCCCACTCTACTTTCCGTCCTTCACATTTCTCTGACTTCGAGGTGCAATAGCCATGTGCTTCACCTTGACATTCATCCCACACTCTGAGTCCCTAGATGCTCCGTTTCCCCCATCCCCCGCTGCTGCCCAGCCTTTGCTGTTCGTGTTTCTTGAGGCACAGGTCTTCACTCTTCGTCCCTCAGCTTTGATTGGATTACCTTTGTGATCTGTTTATGGAGTTCATTTTCCATGCTTCATTTTCGCTCTACCCTTACCGATACTGATGGTGCTCCCTTCAGTTCTTGAAAATCGGAAAGATTCCGAAAGGGACTCGTACAAGGAGATCATCTTCTCAAACACCATCCAGTCAATGTGGTCCGTTTCCCCCCATCTCGTTGTATGTGTCTGCGTAGGCTAACTAACATCGGACACAAAGGGCAATCCTCGAAGCCATCCCACAACTCGACCTAACCCTCGCACCGCAAAACGACGCCCGCCGTGCAACCATCATGGCCCTCCCCATGCAAATCAAAGCAGATGTCCTCCCACGAGATGTCGTCGACGCCGTGCACTCCCTCTGGCGTGACCCCGGTGTCAAAGAAGCCGTGCGTCGTTCCCGGGAGTTCCAGCTGAACGATTCAGCGGTGTACTACTTCAACTCAATCGGCCGTATGGCAGCTACGAATTACATCCCTACCGATCAGGATATCTTGCGGAGCAGGGTGAAGACGATGGGAATTACGGAGACGACGTTTAAAGTGGGGGAATTGACGTACAAGTTGTTTGATGTGGGTGGACAGAGGAGTGAGAGGAAGAAGTGGATACATTGTTTTGGGTGTTTTTGGTTAGTTTGAGCGAGTATGATCAGATGTTGTATGAAGATGAGAGTGTGGTATGTTTTTCCTTCTTTCCTTCTTCTTATTTCTCTTCTTGCCGCTCACCCACCTTTTTTTTTTTTTTTTTGACAGAACCGTATGTAAGAAGTGCTCACCCCCTTCGACTCGATATGCAACTCGCGATGGTTCGTCAAAACTTCAATCCTACGTTCCCTATCTCCCCCTCTCCCTCCATCCTCCTCACACCCCCATAGATCCCTTTTCGCCGAAAAACTCCCCCGCTCACCATTGGGTGATTACTTCCCAGACTACACAGGCAGCGACAACTACAATGCAACATGCAACTACCTCTTGCACTGCTTTGTTTCCCTTAACCAGAGTGCGGCTACGAAGCAGATTTATGTGCATTATACGTGTGTGACGGATACACAGCAGATCAAGTGTACGTCCCCTTTTTTCTTTGCACAGTGAGAGTGAGAGTACTGATGGGGGTTTGGATGATAGTTGTGTTGAGTGTGATTCAAGATATATTACTTCAGCTCCATTTTACGTCAATGTGGGCTGCTGTAACTCCAACTCAACTTTCGCCGCTGACTTGCTGTGCTTGTTTTTTCATTCTTCTGATTTACCCCCAACACCCCTGCTATAATGATGCCTACCCCCGCATCTTCTCTGTATCAAACACGAACACCACCCCTGAACCCCACTGAACTTGTTGCGTCCTGGTCACCCCCCATTTTTATTCGACCCCATCTTTGAATACCATATCTTTTTTCTTTTCAATGTTCAATGGTTTTTTGAGTTTTGAAATTTACAGCCTACTATGCTGTTCAACGTGTACAAGTATTATTCCTACCACACCCTTTCCCCTCTCTTTTCTTTGTTTTGTCATCATTCTTCTTTGCGGGGTAGGAGTGGTAGCTACCACTTTTATGATAAAATACAGGCAAGTGCCTGCACACCGACATCCACACTGCCTAATGAATTTATGAAATGAGAAGAGTAGGCAAAACTTATGAAATGTATTTCATTTCTTTACCAGTGCTTCTCATGACTATTTCATTACTGCCTGGCCTTCCATTTCATTGTCTACCCAGCATTGTTTCATTGCTATTTCATTCTTGCCTGACTTTTAATTTCATTGCCTACCCAGCCTTATTTCATTGCCTTTTCATATCCTTGCCTGGGCTACTTCATATTCATTTCATATCCCTGCCTGGACAATTTCATATCCCTGAGTGATGATGTGGCAATAGCAATATGTAAAGTCATGGTATTCCTTCAGCCATATCTCCACATGAACTTATAATAATTATATTTTGAGATAGGAAAGTAGGTGCCATTATGAAGGCATAGGATAGCCTTTCCTAATGTGAAGACAACTTGTGCATAATGTCAAAAACTAATGCAGCAGCATTAGTAATATGTAAGTAAGATCATGTCAACCCTTCAACCTCACCCCCATAATCTGGACAGAGCCAAGAACACCATAAACTACATGTCAACTACAAACTTTTGTAGTCCCAAAAAGCGGACACTACAAACTTTTCTAATGAAAAAGCGCACACTACAAACTTTTGTAGTCTCAAAAAGTGGACACTACTAACTTTGTAGTCTAAGTACAAGTTTTTGACTTTTGTGGTCTTTTGTAGTCTATCAGTAAACCTTGTAGTCTAAGTCCGACTTTTGTAGTCTTTTGTAGTTTATCAGTATACTTTGTAGTCTATCAGTAAACTGTGTAGTCTAAGTCCAACTTTTGTGGTCTTTTGTAGTCTATCAGTAAAATTTGTAGTCTATCAGTAAAATTTGTAGTCTATCAGTAAACTGTGTAGTCTAAGTCCAACTTTTGTGGTCTTTTGTAGTCTATCAGTAAAATTTGTAGTCTAAGTCTGACTTTTGTAGTCTTTTGTGTATCAGTAAACATTGTAGTCTATGTCTGACTTTTGTAGTTATTTGTAGTGTATCAGTAAACTTTGTAGTCTATATCCAACTTTTGTAGTGTATCAGTAAACTTTGTAGTCTAAGTCTGACTTTTGTAGTCTATCAGTAAACCTTGTAGTCTAAGTCTGGCTATTAGTAAACTTTGTAGTCTATGTCTGACTTTTTGGTAGTTATGGTAGTCTATATCTGACTATTATAGTCTATCAGTGTCAATTTCTTTTCTAGGGCATGCATCTTCCTTTTTTG